GTAAATGTCTGAATTCCGGTTAGAATATTCTTTGATTATGATGAAGGTCTAGTTTACATTGCTTGAGGACATTTTGAAGAATTGACGGATAACAAAACAACTTCCCTCACAAATTGATATCGGTCACTGAATCAATGAAAATCAAAGGATACTGGACATCGGTTTTGCCAAGATTTCAGACTCTACAGCATGCATCCTTCGCTCCTTGCAGAGTCAGTTCCATAACCACTTAGTCTTGTGACAGGTACATCATCTTATAGCCACTAAACTTAGATTGAACACTGCCTATCTTCTGCCTTATAATTAGGTTTTCAGAAATTTTAATGAGAAGCAAGAATAAGGATAGACGTTAATTGGTGACACTGGATGCTTGGCTCAATATGTCAGAAATTCACAACCTTTACTATAAGATTTAGACATTTTCTTATTTGTTAATGTTGATATCATTACCCTGGTGTATTCTGTTCACCTTATCAGACTAAACACAGATGATGAGGAAATGAAAAAAACTGCCTAGATCTACTACATTTTGAAAATATCTTATTGTTTGCTTCTTTCAAACTGGTAAATGAAACTAAATGTATGATAAACTTTGTGAGGATAATTTACAACAAAACGTACAGGAAGAAACGTGCAAACAACCGGAAGATGACGGAGATGGTGTTTGTGTTATCCACTTTTCCTGGGGATTATTCATGAAATGAATCAGTTATTGGCAAAGTCTTTCACAATATCAATGACACATCTTTGAAAAGAACAAAATGCCTGAGATTCCAGGTATACCTAGTCGATTTGTGTCAAATAATACTACTTTATTTCGGTGCTTTCACCTAAAGGAATACAAATACTTAAAATTGAAAAACATATTCGTCATGTTCAGCCACCAATCATTCAGGTTGGTCATCATATTTAGCACTAGACTGAAAAACTCCAGTAGGTGGAATAAATGTTTATGCTGGTTATCATCAACAGAGTCATTTGTGAGGATTTAGTTACATGGCTATGACAGGCTTAACTGTTTCGTCGTTTATTGTGGTGTAAGAAAAATCCGTTTTTCTCGGCTTTTCATATTTTCCCCACTATTAACAACCAACTTTACTACAGGCGAGATCGATCTCTTTAGTCTTTTATTAGCCGCTCTAACTCCCCATATACTAGGTAACACCGGAAGCCATGAGTTACAACGTATATCATTCTTTAAACAATACACTTCCTAGTTGATTATTAAATACAAGAAGAACTAAAAATTAATTACCCATAAATATATATATAAATATAACCACAGCCGCTGGTGGGCTACAAAGGGTTATCACGGTCAAAATTTGGAATTGTGAGTGTATCACTTCTTATTGATATGTTTCATACTAGTTTTCCTTTACTGAAGTTCTTACCAAGTGAGCAATAACTAAGCCCGGAGATACGCTGCAACAGCTACACCAGTTAACCGATGAATTCCATTCCACATGCTTAGCCGGCATTGAAAAGACATTGGATGATAAAAATCCTCAGACAGAAGGTTGTTCTTCAAATATCAACAATCTCTGAAGTATTTTGAAAGCAGATGTCATATTTAAGTATTGGATTTACTAATTCATCAAAATGCTGTTGAGTATCTGGTTAAGTTAGAGATAGAAGTCGTATCGAGTAGGAGTAATGAGAAATAGAGAGATGCGATCACTGTTTTCGTAACAAAAATATTCGGTGGCTGTGCGAGCAGGCTGCGGGAAATATGTCATCAGCTTTCTTTTGCAGGTGAAATTATTAACAAAGGAAGCTTCCTCGAATTGCTAGAGAGTAAAAACTAACGAAAACAGTTCCAGCAAAAGATACTAAAGAAATGAGGGTAGGCCATCTTTAACGTAAATATTTGGTAGAGACCCACGATGAAGCGTTGCCTGGAGATTGAAAACGTGCCTTCACTAGAAATGAAGAGCTCAGCAGCAACATCAATGAGAAATATCATCGCAACACAAACAGATGTGCAGAACGATATTATGTATCATCCCGGACTTATGCGATGTACTATCCACACGTTATATGAGAAGCATTTCGAAAGATGCAAAAGCCACCTACCTACAGCTATGTTTCATATTTTAATAACTTAGTACCATGGTTATACTTTAATTTTGACGTTGCATGAAAACTCGTCTGGAAAGAGGAATGCCGCACTAATAGACTCAACGATTGTAGGTTATCATCTACACGGTACACTTTTATACTAGAATTTAGGAAAAATAAATGATGTGCGGATCAAATCGCAACACTATGCATCATCATAGAACAGAGCATAGAGTGTCAGTCAAATCCTTACCTCAAATTCACCCACTTTGAAAATGCCTTCAGTAGCGTCGACCGAGAAGTAATTTGGTAGGCAGCTGACTCAACACTACGGTTTTAGTGCCACAAACCCTTATCAACCTCATCCAACAACAGCTACATGCTATATGATGATGCTACATGCCAAGTGATTCACAATGGAAAACTCAGTGATGCCTGTGCAGTGAAGACAGGTGTAAGACAAGGTTGTCGCCTGCTATCAGCGATGATCTTCCTGACTGTGATCAACTGGACTGGACTGGATCATGCAACAAACTGTGGGGAGCGAGAAGAGGGGTATGCGCTGTTTGACCGATGAAAAGACCCCAGAAGAAGATTTGGATTTCATCGATCATGATTTATGTCTGAAGTGTTGTAGCAGAAACTCGAAGATATACAGGCGAAAACGAACAAGTTGGTAGGAGAGGCGAGGTGAGGCAGTAAAGACGGCACTTCCTTCAGGTGAGCATAGAGAAGATAGAGGTGATGTACATACCCGACAAAAACCACCACCAACAAAAACAACCAGAACCAGAAACGGGAAGAAGCTAAAGGAAGTTGTCGCTTTCACCTACCTACCTACCTACCTACCTACCTACCTACCTACCTACCTACCTACCTACCTACCTACCTACCTACCTACCTACCTACCTACCTACCTACCTACCTACCTACCTACCTACCTACCTACCTACCTACCTACCTACCTACCTACCTACCTACCTACCTACCTACCTACCTACCTACCTACCTACCTACCTACCTACCTACCTACCTACCTACCTACCTACCTACCTACCTACCTACCTACCTACCTACCTACCTACCTACCTACCTACCTACCTACCTACCTACCTACCTACCTACCTACCTACCTACCTACCTACCTACCTACCTACCTACCTACCTACCTACCTACCTACCTACATACATACATACATACAGACATACAGACAGACAGACAGACAGACATAGGCAGCATCGACTCAACTACAGGCGGCACAAGCACAGATGACGATGTCGAAGCCAGGATCGGTAAGACAGCAACACAGGCCTTCAATAATCCGAAGTCAGTGTGGAAATCTACTCCACTCCACTCAGCATAAAGCGTGAACAACATCCGGATTTTCAACACTGAATCAGTCGAGTCAGTGCTGTTATATGGATCAGAAAGTTGGCTTGTCACGAAAGGGATCTCCAACAAACTACAGACACTCATCAACAGCTGTTGCCTACCCTCACTCCATACTGAAGATCAGATCAGATGACGAGAAAGAATAAGCAACAAGGAACTCTGGCTGGTGACGAACCAACCAAGAACCTATCACCCAACAAATATGCACTGGGAGGGAGTTGAGATGGATTGGACACACGTTGAGAAGGCCGACTGTGGATTTCAAGCATCAGGCCAGGTCGTCGAGTGGAATCTGGAAGGGAAACGACGAGTTGGTCATCCGAGGCGAGTGTGTGTGATGGAGGAGATGATATGAGGAAGAAATGAGAGCTTGTGGGTAGTCGTAGTGCCAGGTTTAAAAGACTGCAGAGACGAGGGTTCAGTGGAGGCGTACTACTGAAGCCCTATATTCCACTAGGAACCCAAGGGACAAATAATACTAGTATAATTGTACTGGATATTTTAATGCACCTAAAGATACAGTGAGTTCTGTATTCTTCAAGTAAGCCATTTGATGTGATTCAATGTTTCTATACTGATTTCATTATTTTGATTTTCATCTGCAAAACAGACGGCATCAGATGAAGCACTTCTTTCGGTCAATCTAATGAATTCACTCTTAGAAATTACGTTTCAAGCCTATCCCTGCAAGATTCATGACATATGATAAGGCTCTACTTCCTTCCAAGGGAATATCTAATTTGTAAAGCATTCATTAACTCATCGACAATGCACCTTAACATTCTGAGGTGTCTTAAATTTCCTAATCATCGACAAATCAACTCAACCTTGCGATACTGAATGCTTTTCATTGTCCTTCTTAGATTTGTCGTCTTCACTGTGACAGCTATTTTTCAATCCCTTCAAGGCTTAATTTTTACTCCTTTTATATTACTGTTTAAAATACTGCAGAATAGATTTTCGCATTATATACAATCACTTTGCTTTAGCGCATATCACTCCGACTGCTATTCTGCTATTTTTACGGTATGGTACATACCAGTATCAAGATAAATCAGAGAAATCAGTTTGACACATGAAAAGTGATCCACATTTTGGCTTTTAGAAATTTGACTTCTCAGTAGTGTTACTTTCTATGAGACTAAATTGACTCTGTTTCTTAAATTCAGTTTTCCGAGAGTAAATTTAAATGTTTTACAGCAGTGGAGGATCGGGTGACCGAATTCATCATGATAATAAAATCTGCAGCAGAAAAGCAGAATGACTGACAAATTTGTAGTAAAAGCACTTGGAAACCAGGTAGAATCAAGTGTGCTAGCATTTCATGCCTTCAAATATAGGGATATGGAGCTGTAGTAACGAAAACTTGTCATAACAACATCAGAACACTTCAGTTTGTTGTGTGAAAATAAATTTTTATTTAAATAGAAGTAACCACTGAATCGCGTAGAATAAGATGCCAACAGAGAAAACCAAACAAATTTAGCTATTGTCCTACCTATCGATTGCAATAAGTTAGTCACAAGACCACCTCACACAAATTCATTATTGACTAGGAATTTATACGTACCCAGGCTGTGAATTAGAGATGCATATTTTCTTGAGCTATCTGGTGTTAAAGTTGATCTGCTCATATATGAAATAAATACGCACAGGATGACTTTTATTTAGCTGTATTATTTAACTTACATATGTTCCGATTTTATAATTATCTAACCACTTATTGTACTGAGACGCATGGATGTAGTCTGAATTTCTTTACTTTCTGAAAGAAATGGTGCATATTCATGTCAGATACGCTCCTTTGTTTCCAGATACACTATCATACTTTGAAATGTTCTTCAGCAACATACGATACGTACAGTAGATCAAACAGTTAAAGGTAGTAGACTGGTAAACACTTCGAACATATACATGCATATCTTTGGCTTACATTTCTTTAAATCCAGATAAATTTAACTGATCCTTCCATAGGCATTATTAATCTATGAAAAAATAACTCTTCAAGATTATTGTGATTAGTGATGAAAACTTTTCTGAAGTCAGTATGGATATAATTCAATCCCAAATGGTGAATTTATCGAATGATTGAACTAATGTATGCAAATAAGGCCGTAGTTGAAGAGATGGTACACTACCGAAACTGGACACATTGGCACAGACTTCAGTGTACATCTAAAATTTATCTTTTGGCGTAGAATTCACTTATGAAATCTCATCATTCATTCCAGATGAAAAGCGTCAACAGAGAAGTTTGAAATGTTGTAAACTAATTCAACAAGTTATTTTAAACACGAGGACGAAATTGAAAGGATTGGATACCAACACCGTTAACCCTTCTGACTGAGGTTACTTTATACTACTTTACTAATCTCCCAGTAGTTTTTCCACCCTTTATTTTTAAATGACTCCAGTGATTCTCAGCTGTATGAAATATTGCTAATATGGCTGGTTGCATTCTAGTCACAACACACTAGAAATATGCAATAATGACACATCCTTTCATCAGTTTACATATTATTTAAATATTTGTATTATATACTGTGTTAAATAACATAACATGATTCGCAGTGATTGTGTTTGTTTTCCATATAACCTGTTTGAAACAGTAAACTGTGGAACTTATTCAGTAACCGAGTTAAGCTAGTACTGTTGACCCAACTATTGTACAAAAATGTTGCTGATTACCAGTCCCACAAGCCTTGAAACACACTTCGATTCATAAACACTCACGTATACTTTCACGTAAGTTTTTGTAAGAAGGGTTGGAAGTAGTAGTTCCATTGGTTTTTGAATCTATTTTTTGCACTACTTTTGAAATATTCTACAAGTTTTAGATAAGAATTTTTTATAGCAGTTGGATTTCAGACGAGATCGTCTTTATCTACCGATGTAGTCCTCTGCTTGTCCACATTTTAATCATATTTCAAGTTAGAATGCCATTAGACTCCTCTTTTCATACTTAGGTTGATAAGTATTAGCGTAGGGCGAAAAACATTCATTTGGAATATTTGGTTGTTTTTAAATGAAAGTCAAACCTTCTGCTGCGAAGACAGTTTTCTCATGTAAAAGATGTTACAGTCTCGCAAGAAAAAGTTCAAACAGCTATGCATTATCCACAGATTTTTAATAGCCAGTAAGTATCATATGCGGCTTGCTTAAATTTTGAGCTGCTAAACGTCCTTCCACTTAATATCGAAAATAAAATTGCTCCTTTTACTCCTATTTTAATCATTCAAATTTATTTCAAAACGTAAGGCACACTCTCATACATCTTTAAAGCGTTATCAGCTCACCGCTCTGCAGTTTAACAAACATTTTCAGACAACACCATGCTACATGGAAATAGGTTTGTAGGCACCCATCAATACATCAGATTACCATTTCTGGAATAGTTAGCTAGAACCGCAGATTTTCATGCTGGATGGCCGAATCTCCACCGCCAACTTTACACCTTCTTTTCTGTTCCTTATCTCCTGCAACAACATGATCACAAATAACACAATATCCTAACAACAGCCAGTCGTTACATCTTATTGCTATTATTAACACTATTTGAATACTACAGATGTTTTTATAGCTGACTTGATTGTGGCTAACAGTGGAATACGGCAGGCACGTCTCATCCTTTTTACGACTCGTTAGCGGGATGTTCCTGGTTCCCAGTGAGCTACGTTGTTCTTAATGAGATTCGAACCTCCTGCCCTATCGCCTCAAACGACAAAGTGTTATGTGCTAGGTCACTGAGATACAATAGCCACCTATTTTACAGCGGTTATTACTTATTATTATGCTTCTGTGTTAGTAATTAGAGTTGATCAACCTCTGTAGGATTATGAGCTCCTATTCAGATGCCTCAATATTGCCGGAGTATTTAGTGGATTTTTTTAATTTAGTATACAACGCTTAGAAGTTTGAAGCCATGAGCACAAGGTTTAAGTCTTAGTGGGAACAACATCACTCGCTGAGGTGCCACTACATCCAGCTGATGAGTCCCAAACAGGACGAAACACGCGTCATGGGTTCCGCAGCTAGCCAAAAATAAGTCGGTTATTACAATAAATACACAGGCAATATCAGGGCGTTGGAATGGCAGCCATATACTAACAGATGTCGGTCACTTTGATCTAGTATAACAATGGAGAACTATAAATATCAACAAATGATAAGTACAGCTTTTATGAAGGTATCCTGACCAACAGTGGACTGGAAGGTTTGATATTTTACAAGAAGTAAATTTTCTGAAATACTGAATACTAAGAATTTCATACTGCCACAAGAATATCGTCTGAAATGTAGGGAAAATTACTAGTGTTATTTACAGATCCCATTCGGGAATAAATTAACAATCCACAAGATGATACTTCAAAAATAATGCGTTTTCTTCGTGAATTCCCTCAGTCGCATCCCTAACCGCAAGAAAAACCACATAATTAACAGGCAGTCAGAAATCATGAAAATTTCCTAAAGACAATAGAAGTATTTTTCAAAATGATAAGTGATAACCACACTTTAATAACCTTGAAATATATCATTTATTGGTTAACAAGAATAATCATATTATAAACAAATATTTACAAGTGAGTGAATCTGATTGGCCAGCACATTCTCTTATAGTCACGCGGTTATTAGCTGTAATTGTTAGCAAAATTATTGATTAATGTGATAAAACAGAGAAAGTTATATATATATGTATATATTTGTAAAGGAATACAGATTATTTTATTCTGAAATTATGTTAGTGCTCACATGTAATTAGACAAAACTGTATATATCCTTCTATAATCATACAACTATTGCAGTCAGATGGCATAAATTTACAGTTATGTACCTCGAGAGGATCGTGTTTCACGCAGAAAAAATAAAGAGGCAATGATATTCAAGTTTCATTTAACCTAAGGAACAAAATTATACTAACAGTAAACATATTAGTAGGTCATGAAAAATGATGACCGTCATGCAATAACCTACAAAATAACTATCTTTAAATATTCAGTATATTATGCAACTTGATGTTGGGAAATATATAGATATATTTTGTACTGTATGACAAATCATATTACTTTTCTAATCAGATATAACAGTAAATGCTTTTCTCAGTACCATTCAGAAGATACTGTATCATCAGTCAAGAATTCGCTTGAAGGTATAGATAATTTAGCATTCCGGTTGCTTCATATGCGATTTATAAACTAAAATGAACTTTTATTAGAAGGCATTATACATATCATTTAATCTCCCTAACTTTCCTACTGTTTGTATGATATAACTAATCAGAAGTTATTTCATTTCATCAAACTGATGGCTAAACTGCATAAATCTTTTTTATTTACATTCAACTATATAATTTTCTTATGGATAGCTAACTTAAGAGTACAATGTTCAACTCAGTTAGATGAAGGGAAGAATCCAGTTGAAGAAAATATTTTTCAAGGTGATAGTAATAATCTAATTGGTTGTTTAGACTCTGACGGTATACGGCATGGTTTATTCTCTACATGGATGGAGAATCCTTTATGTTGGTGTACATGTCAACCTGTGTCTAGAATGGCGGTCAGTATTTGTGATGGATGTGAAATAATTAAGCAATCGCATAGTTCGGAATTAAATATTAGTTACAGTAGTAGTAGTAGTAGTAACAACAGAAACAGTGATAAAATATTACAGAACGATACTTTAATTAAAATTCTTAATTCATTTGATAATGTAAAAAGTAACAGCGGTGAATTTAACCAGAAACGATCAGCTGACAATTATCATGATGACAAGACATCAACTGCAGATTCTAATAGTAAGTTACCTAGTTGATTTTTCTCATCAAACATTAAAAGTTCGTGTACACATGATTTCATTCAATAAAATTACTTTGTGTATTATATTTTGGTGATACAATTATTTCATTCAGACTCCAGAGAATCATTCTCAACGAAAACTCCTGTAATATTTGTCCCAGTTAGATTCTGTAGATAGGATTACTCCTAGAATAACTAGACAAGATTAATTACCTCGTCGGTTTCAATGTAGTTTTCAAAAATACGGAATATTAGCTTTAAAACAAAATGGGTTGGTAGATTAAGTGGTTCAGTTGGTTATCGTTTTGTTGCTTGTCATTTCTCGTTGTCATACAGGGTCGAATCGCTCGACCTTGGTTAGCAGATGAGCTCCTATGTGAATGCCTCCATACTATCGTATATTCACGATGTTATATTCACTTTGATGGCTAGCGGTGGAATCCAAGACACCGATTTGATCATATTCGGGACTCCTTAGCCGCACGTATTCTTTTACCCTATCCAATGATGTTTCTCCAGAGACTCGAACCTAGAACGCATCGAAAGGTTATCTACTAGACCACTAGAGCACCAAAATCGTTTCTCAATGTTTTGGTAATTGTAATTTCATTATGATTTGACTATCTGAGAAGGCCCTAGTTCTGTGAGTAAGTTCTGAGTCAATACTTAGTTGACTTCTGACTGCTTCCAGTGCCATATTGATTGGTATTTTAGTATAAAGACTAGTTACATCGAAGCTAACCATTTTTTCATCCTCTTCTATGTGTAGATCATTAAGCTTACGTTTTAACTCGTAGGAGTTTACTGGTCTGGAATTTGGGCGGTTCCTAATAGGACATAATATCGATGCTAAGTACTTTGCCAGTTCGTATGCTGGGGTATTTTTGAAGTCAAAAGTGGGTTTAATGAGATAACCAGGCTTATTAGTTTTAGGTATTAAATTAAACCATTTAGACTCACCTAGAGATGGTTTTAGTCAGTGTATCAGATAGGCTGTAGATTTCCTAATTTTATTCATGACCACATCTAGAGGCTTCTTGATTTCTTCATATGGTCCTGTTTGGATATGTTCGTCAGTTTTGTCGAAGTAATCCAATTTGTTCATAACTACAGTTGAATTGTCTTTATCAGATTTAACAATTACCATGTTATTGTCATTCCGTAGACTATTCAGAGCTGAATTTTGAAGTTTTAAGTTCCGCTGTCTTTTCTTTTGTCTTTTCAGTGTTAACGAACACTGTGCTCTAACCTGTTCATCTAATGCTGCATCCACCGAGCTTAATGCTACTTCTATGCTATGAGTCTACAAACGTTTAGTCCTTTACAAAAAATATGGTCGCGATATGTGGATGACACATTCACTGTGTTGAAATCGGAACATATCGACAATTTCCTCATGCATATAAACTCATTAGTAAACGCAATCCAATTCACTTACGAGATAGAAAATGAACAAAAAGAATTACCTATGTTGGATTGCAGAATAAAAACGAAGAACAGAGGGTGGCTTGGATACTACTGTCTACAGAAAACCAACACATTCTAACAGGTATCTAGACTTCAAATCATCCCATCCAATGTCAGTCATTTAAGGCAGGATCAGTCAAATGTCTAAATGATAGAGCTAGAAAACTGACTAGTTACAGCAAGAACCTAAACAAGGAATTGAAACACGTAAAAGAAGCTCTAATAGTTAGTAATTATCCTCCGCAGTTTATCAAGAAATTCTTACAAACACAAAAAACGAAAAAATAACAGTCACACAGGTGCGATCAATAACGACAATATGAGTAAAAAGGAGTTCACAGCCTCCATTGTATTACCCTATAAGGAGGGTACCTCAGAAACTTTACGTAGAATCCTCAACAGAGCTGGAATTGGGGTGGCATTTAAACCTACAAACTCACTCAGAGATAAGTTCTGTCGACTTAAGGCTCCGATAGAACCAATTAAGAAAAAGAATATAGTCTATCAAATTCCTTGTAATGACTCTGAGGTCAAGTACATAGACCAATCTAGTCGGTCGGCGTCAGTTAGAATAGCCGAACATTGGAATTTATCTAAGTATAGAATAACAGACCTAAATAAGATGATTCATCTAGAAAAAATACTCGGTCACTCCTATACATGCATTAAAACACAACCACACAATAGGGTGGGATAAAGCCACTGTACTCATGTCCAATATAATTAGGTGGAGAGAGAGATTGATTACTGAATTTTTGTTCATCGAATCAACACGCAACACCTACACCAGAGGTATGGAAAATTTTACTACCAATTAAATCAACTCATATAAACTGACATAACTATTAAAAAGCAAATGTCGAAAGTAGTGTGATAACATTGATATGATTATGAGCAGTAATAACTTATGTTCGAAACGTCATCAGGTAAATAATAGTAGATCACTGTGTGTTATAAATCAGATAAACAAATCTAATATGGAACTACGTGATATCAACAGCTAATGGCATAAGTATAATATTGGCAAACGAATGGTCTCATATACTGGTGGACAAGAAATAGAAAGTGAAAGAAACAGTAAAACTGTTGATCAACAAACCTTTAGAAAAACCTGTTTAGAAATGAAGTATTTTTTTAGTTAGAATCAAAAATCAAATAGTTAACTTGTGAAATTTATCAGGTAGCTGCAGCTACGAGCCATTCATTAGATCTTGGCTCCTAGGAACATAAGAAGAACTTAAATATAATGACTGAATAATTGCAGTTGAGTAGTGAATTTGTAAGGTGAGTTTGATAATCACAGATATACGTAACTGACTGTAGAGAATTTAACTATGTAGCTAAAAGTTATAAATTCATATAAACAGCTTTAAGCATAACTGAAAAAGTAGTGTTAGAAGCTTAGTGGTGGCTAGTAGTAGAGTTCAGGATGCACGTTTCGCCCCATGCAGGACTCATTAAGTGAATATGCCAGCACCCTGGTGATAAATTTTCCTGTGACACAAACCGGGAACCTATCGTTTCAGGTACTCTGACGTTATCTAGTAAGCTACTGAGGCGCATTCAGGCGATTCTGACCAAATATCTGTATGCGTAAATAATCAGGTCTTTCTGGTATAAATGATACAGAAAGGCAGTGAAAAGCTCTTACATGATGCATTACACTAACTGAATTAAATAACAGAAAATACTGAAAATGTTATATGATAATGCAAATTACGAATACATATAAATGTACTCCGATACTAGTTATTTGGATCGAACCTGAGGAAATACGATCCACTTAAATGGCAACTGATACAGTTGAACTTTCATTTGGCCCTGAACACTTTAGATTAAAATTGTAAACCCTTCATTAATAGTGTTGCTGTATGAGCTCAAAGTTACTTGAACACAGCTTCTAAAGTTAGTCTACATGTTATTTTATCTTTCGCTTTGCTTTATTGTGAATGACCTTGAAGTCTTGCATCTAAACATTCAACCCATATTGAAAACGAAATAAAATGAGTTTTTCAGGTGTTACCAATACTATTCTTATAGTCGTGTGCTATTTCACATATATCTTATCACAAGTGATGCTAATTCCCCTGAATAGTTCAAATACTCTCATTGCGATTGTTCCTACGTAAGTATTTTTAGAGGAGTCGACGTGGGACAGATTGGTTTATTTTTTTAGTGATGAACATGATTTCAGGTTCTATTGCATAAAAATTTCGTTAATCACTGATGTCTCACTGATACTTTGTTTGTCAACTAACAAGAATATCACTTTTCCAATTGGAATTATTGCTAGTGACATAAGACGATATTACTGTAAATGATCATTTCTTCACTTAAATTTACAGCCGCTTAGTACCTGTAATAAAATAGAAGCGTTTGATAGCCGGAGAGATAAATTTCTTGTTAATGAAATTTAATTGCGTAGATATTTTGTTATATCGTTTATTCAGCCTCTTCAATATTTGAACTAATATCAGAAGATATATATTTACTTTTTAGATTGATTACAAATTTGTTTAGGTTACATGAAGCTGATGAAAGTCCTATAAAATCAAATGAAGCGTGTGATATGATCATTCAAATACTTTCCTCACTGCATTGAACAGATCAGTTAGGGTGATTTGATATATGAAATTTCAGCTCTGTATATAACTGAGCTATGCTCCTCAAGGAAAGCACCAGTTACATGTATTTCAAGTATTTTCAGAGAGCGATTAAACTGCTGGCGATTCTTGTTCGCTGTATGGTAATAATTTAAAAGGAATAATTTTTGAAGTAGATTCCATGGTGAACTAAGTATATTATTCGGACATTTTCCTTCCATATGATATAACCGTAGTTCTACCAACTGGTATTATTAAAACTAGGTAATGACTGAATGTGAAATGCAAACTTGATTTGTAGTGGTACTAGAAATTTTGGACCCCTAGATTCCAAGGCAAAACTCTTAGGTACTGAGTTCAAGTGAAAATAGATCAGTAGTTGGGTCTCATGGATAAGCTGGTAGAATATTAGGATGATAATCTGGAGGCTACTAGTTTGAATCTACCACGACCAAGGTTTTCATGCGGCATTCAGAAATCATCCAGTCTCAACTTTTATTATAATTTAAGCGTAACTCGCATGTTTTATGAGAAAAAAGGGAACAAAATCTTTGCAAAGCTACTTAATCGATGGTCAAGAAAGATTATATATGGTTTACTGATATTGCTTTTATTTAGTTACTGATATATCAGTGAACTTTAACTTTTTTCTCCCTCACCATATGAATCTTGTTTAAATACATTCTGCTGTATCTTCTTACACTATATCTATTTTAACAGACATAAATTTACACAAAAACATCCAAAATTTCTGGATGCATTCAACTTAACTACCAATTCAGGTCTAAGCAATACTGTTCTCTTACCGCCTTTATGCAACACTTCGTCATATAAAGTAGAGGTTTATTAGGATATGTATTATTTAAAGTTGTTTTAAGTTCTCTGAGCTTCAGTATTTGGTTACAGATCTTTCAACAAACGAGTACGAGGACATTGATAAGAAAGCTGACCAAATATAAAAGCTTGCCAAGCAATAACTAACTTTAGTCCTCAGCCTAACACCTGGACATCTTTTGTTAGTCTAAGTATGTGTATCTCCATTAAAAGTAATGATCATTTAAAACGTTATTCATAAAATGTATGATCCAATAATTACAGTAAATCATAAACAGGAAGAGTAAAATCTCTACGTCTTAAACTGACATTCTAGCACTATGTAAGGTGTTCCAATTATCTTGCAAATATTTTCATTCTGAAATACGAGCGAGGTCATCATTACTGAGTGGTTTTTAGCATTTCTTATGTTGCACTACTAAACATACATTCGTTTTGGAAGAATTCTTAAACCATACTCTCGTAAGTGACCTAATAAAATGATCTAAACACCTACATAAAAGTTATTCTATACTGCTGTTTTCAAAAAGCTGACTGTCTGACTGATTTGTATATATTTTTATGCAGTATTTTACAATCAGCTGCGTATAGAGCAATCGTCATTAGCCTTTCTTATTTTACATTTCTATGGAATAGTTCAATTGAATCTTGTGGCTTTGTAGTAAAGGAAAGCAATTGCGAAACTATATAAGTATTTCAAATATGAAAAATCATAATTTCTCAGGCAGTGAAGGCTTCTTATACAGAAGATGGCCAATTTCTGTACGGAAATGAGTTTGTTGACAATAAATTAAACCAGCCCCCTGGAACTGAGTATTTAAACTTCTCTGTTAGTATAAACCTGGTGAATTAGTCACCTCTGGTAAAGTAATGAAAAAATGTATAAACAATTACAGGTCACTTCATGAGAAAACTTCAGTAAGCTTTAGGAATAGTAGGTACCAATAAACCATTAACAGAATAAATCAGCTAATTAGGATAAAGAATTTACAAATCGTTTAGAAACAGGTAAGTTAACGTCTAAACTCTTAACCTCGAAAACACAGTTTGCTGATGATGGAAAAGACATTTGGGTCAATAAAAGCGTAATATTAAAGATTAGAAACTACCGAACCGCAAATAATGACATGGACTCTCACTTATGCTGTCAATGAAGATTCTCTTAGAGGTTATGCAGCAAAGATATAAACCAGACTATATAAAAACTGAAGTATGAAGCTTATTCTTATAACTATTTGTCCCTCGGGTTCCTAGTGGAATATAGGGCTTCAGTAGCACGCCTCCACTGAACCCTCGCCTCTGCAGTCTTTTAAACCTGGCACCACGACTACCCACAAGCTCTCATTTCTTCCTCATATCATCTCCTCCATCACACACACTCGCCTCGGATGACCAACTCGTCGTTTCCCCTCCAGATTCCACTCGACGACCTGGCCTGATGCTTGAAATCCACAGTCGGCCTTCTCGGCGTGTGCCCAATCCATCTCCACTCCCTCCCAGTGCATATTTGTTGGGTGATAGGTTCTTGGTTGGTTCGTCACCAGCCAGAGTTCCTTGTTGCTTATTCTTTCTCGTCATCTGATCTGATCTTCAGTATGGAGTGAGGGTAGGCAACAGCTGTTGATGAGTGTCTGTAGTTTGTTGGAGATCCTTTCCGTGACAAGCCAACTTTCTGATCCATATAACAGCACTGACTCGACTGATTCAGTGTTGAAAATCCGGATGTTGTTCACGCTTTATGCTGAGTGGAGTGGAGTAGATTTCCACACTGACTTCGGATTAGTGAAGGCCTGTGTTGCTGTCTTTCCGATCCTGGCTTCGACATCGTCATCTGTGCTTGTGCCGCCTGTAGTTGAGTCGATGCTGCCTATGTCTGTCTGTCTTTCTGTCTGTCTGTATGTATGTATGTATGTATGTATGTAGGTAGGTAGGTAGGTAGGTAGGTAGGTAGGTAGGTAGGTAGGTAGGTAGGTAGGTAGGTAGGTAGGTAGGTAGGTAGGTAGGTAGGTAGGTAGGTAGGTAGGTAGGTAGGTAGGTAGGTAGGTAGGTAGGTAGGTAGGTAGGTAGGTAGGTAGGTAGGTAGGTAGGTAGGTAGGTAGGTAGGTAGGTAGGTAGGTAGGTAGGTAGGTAGGTAGGTAGGTAGGTAGGTAGGTAGGTAGGTAGGTAGGTAGGTAGGTAGGTAGGTAGGTAGGTAGGTAGGTAGGTAGGTAGGTAGGTAGGTAGGTAGGTAGGTAGGTAGGTAGGTAGGTAGGTAGGTAGGTAGGTAGGTAGGTAGGTAGGTAGGTAGGTGAAAGCGACAACTTCCTTTAGCTTCTTCCCGTTTCTGGTTCTGGTTGTTTTTGTTGGTGGTGGTTTTTGTCGGGTATGTACATCACCTCTATCTTCTCTATGCTCACCTGAAGGAAGTGCCGTCTTTACTGCCTCACCTCGCCTCTCCTACCAACTTGTTCGTTTTCGCCTGTATATCTTCGAGTTTCTGCTACAACACTTCAGACATAAATCATGATCGATGAAATCCAAATCTTCTTCTGGGGTCTTTTCATCGGTCAAACAGCGCATACCCCTCTTCTCGCTCCCCACAGTTTGTTGCATGATCCAGTCCAGTCCAGTTGATCACAGTCAGGAAGATCATCGCTGATAGCAGGCGACAACCTTGTCTTACACCTGTCTTCACTGCACAGGCATCACTGAGTTTTCCATTGTGAATCACTTGGCATGTAGCATCATCATATAGCATGTAGCTGTTGTTGGATGAGGTTGATAAGGGTTTGTGGCACTAAAACCGTAGTGTTGAGTCAGCTGCCTACCAAATTACTTCTCGGTCGACGCTACTGAAGGCATTTTCAAAGTGGGTGAATTTGAGGTAAGGATTTGACTGACACTCTATGCTCTGTTCTATGATGATGCATAGTGTTGCGATTTGATCCGCACATCATTTATTTTTCCTGAAGCCAGTCAGCTTATTCCGGTCGTAGTTTTGAATGCAGAGCACTATTTAGTCTGTGCAGGATGATGTGGATTTATATTTTGCTTGAGGTTGACAGGAGCATGATCCCTTGATCTGTTTTCTATCACCAGCTTCTTTGAAGTGTTTAAACTTGATTTTGAAGGTTTCTTGTACTAGATAGTGAGTGGTGTAAAGCTACACCTGCACCCCTTCTTGCTCTAGTTTCCAGTAGCTACATCTCCACTCTCTTCAGATTGAAGTCGATATGATTTTTATTGTATCCTGGTATCCGGTGAAATCCATGTCAATTTGTGAATGTCTTTGTGTTTGTACACACCGCGTCCAATCACCAAATGACTAAATGCATAGGAATCTGCAAACAGTTCTCCATTCTTATTTATTTCACCAAGTGCCTCTTGAACCATGACTGGTTCTCTTCCTGTGTTGTCCGCTCGATGCAGTTTGGCATTCACGTCGCCCGTTAGAATTTTGATGTCGCCAACTGAGGTGGTGTCTTTTCCAGTACTGATTGTAGTCGTCCGTAGAATTCCTCCTTCTTCTCTTGATCTGCATTATTTTTAGGTGTGTGGCGTAGAATTGTATGATTATAAATTTCTTCCTTTTTGATTTGAATCTTGTTGTCATGATCCTGATCCTGGAGGAGATTGGTTCCCACTGCATGAGAACGTTTGATGCTCTTGGGGACATCATGATAGCCACTCCGAAACTCAATGTGCTCGGGATTGTCGTTTGGATGACAATATCGGTATAGATTATTGACTTTCCAGTTAACAGTTTGGAAGTCCACTTCCATTCTATCTGCTCTTGCAGATTCCTAGCATTTCTATGCTATCCATTCTCACTTCTTTTGCAATCTGGGTAACCATACCAGCCAGCTTCAAATATCATACAGACATTCTATGTCCCTATGCTTACTTTTTTGAAGTTTCTTTAGGAATCGGATTGATTTTCTTGGGTAGGTTTACTGGAAACGCGCCTAACCTTCCCTCTTTATCCGGGCTCAGGACCTGCTAGTAAAGTAAGTGAGGTTAATATCCTTATAGAAATAACAGTTGCTACCGATTTGACTCCATTTTTGAAGCCTATGTTACGATTTTAAAGTTTTCAGAATTTCTTATACCATTCAGAATTCATTCGTTATTAACTTGTAACCATTTTAAATTCAGGGATCTTTTGGACAGAATTCATATTCAGCGTTTACACATTTTAAAGTCAATAATGAAAGAAATAACATCGGTGGGTGTTTGTTATATATATGTTCCAACAAAATAGGATATATGCAGTCAAGCTATAGTTGGCGATTTCAAATCACCGAAAAAAGCAGTCTGTTTTTATCATACCATATCATGTATGACTTTTATTGTATAATTACTTGGTGTATTCTGACATCCAGTAAAACACACCAAAATCCAGCAAACACGTAGTACTTTTGTAATCATATTGGTATTCAACATAGTTGCGACTCAAATAATCAACTTTTAAAGTGATGTTATAAAGTAGCTTTTATAGCAACAGTATCTGAAATAAGCTTCTGGCATACAGTTATAAATTCTTGAATAGCAAATGTTTACCAGTTTATATGAGAATTTATGATTCAGCGGAATGTGATCTTATTCTGTGCACATCACATTTTACCCATAGAAACGAACTACCACTGAAACTCTTACAGCCTACACATTTCAAACCGAAATATTAATAAATAACCGATTCATGCTTTGTCGCATATCGTATGTACTGATAAAAATGCCTTAACTAGGTACTTTGTAAATTTAAACCATTCCGTTGTTTTACGAACTGCAATGCTGAGTGAAGAATATCAATTCTGCCGAGGTTCAGTGCAGTTTTATAGGACCTTTCCTCAGTTCATTACTTATAGTCGAGGATTACAAAAGCGTTTGCTTCGAATGTTTAATTTTAAAATTTTTAAGTTAGCATGATTTATTTAAAGACACGCTCACTAATCTAAACAATATGTGTGGTGTAGAAATCATGGTCCTAATCAGTTTCATTTGACATATGATTCTTAGTTTGATAATACTAAACATGAAATGATGTTGGTTAAGAAACCGCTTTGTACTATTGGGCATAGTATATGAACTGTCACCTTCTTAGTTTAAGGGATGATAAGTTGTGTTTGTATCTGAAAATTCAACTATGACCGTCTTCATTAGCAAGCTTCCTATATTCTATATGTTGTATAATGGAAAATATTCACTTTATAAATAGCTGGATTCTGTTATTTCTAACATTATCAGTTGTTCCAAATTTGAATGGTGTTTATTTTATGTACCACTGGAAACATTCAAACATATCTACTGAAATCTTCAATTTCAAGCGATTTCCTTGACAAACAACTTTAGATAAGGGAAGTCCCAAAACTCAAAAAAGAAAAACCATATTTTGTTATTGAGGGAAAAGCGGAAACCATCCAGCTAATTTCGTGGTGAATACGTAATATAGCAATCCGATTACTGAGTTATTTTGACAGCGTATACTTCCTAACATATACACATTTGAAACTACAATACATATAAAACCAAAGTACTTCCTTTAACGATTCGATTATCTCATCGAAAAGCAACTAAGTATTGAATAATTATAAAAATCTTTTTCGCATTTCTAAGGAAAATGGACAGTTTTCCATGTATACAACTGTTCATACAAAAAGAGAAGGCGTAGTTTCAGCGAAGAAATATTTTTCTTTTCGACGAAGTCGTTTACTAAGCTGTACATTCGCGAATATGCGTTATAGTGGGCAGAACGTTCCAGAATTATTTTCGGTGAGATGGCAAAATATATTGAGTAACTAAAGGAAGCATACATCTACTTGCGCTTGTGGAACTGAGTACATTGGCTGTACCATGCGTCCGTTTGTCTAACGTGTCCGCTAACACTACCTGGCTTGGTTGGCGAAGGGAGAACGGAAATGTATCTTCAGTTCAATAACAGAACACCTCATAAACTCAGGCCATTCAGCTCCTTTCGAGAGCTCATTCAAAATTCGCCACAGGGTTCTATCAAACCACTTGAAGGCAGTAAGATTAAGGTATCTGTCTATAGCTGAAGCACTAGCGATCCCGAAGTTCGAACCAGCGTTATGCGTCCAAAAAAGGCAAGTCTAGCCTTTATCTTTGCCATGGCCATCATAAAGCATTGTCTGCCATAGATTCATTTTGTATCAGGTAACTACACATGTATTTCCTTCATACCTTATTCATTTTCCTACTTCGTCACAGATTTAACCTGAATTACGTAATTACAACCTTATTTTCATGACCCCCTGTTTGTTTTCATGCTCTGTCATAGGTTTATCCGGTATTACACAATCGCAGTCTATTTTCATAACCCTTCGTTCAGTTTCCTACTTTGCCATAAATTCATCTTGTATTACGTAATTACATTTAATTTCATGATCCTTTGTCTATTTTCCCACTCTAAAAGCAAATGCGTATTAATTGACTTTTTTTGGTTACTCAATATATTTTGCCATCTCACCGGAAATAATTCTGTAACGTTCTGCCCACTATAACGCATATTCACGAATGTACAGCTTAGTAAGTGACTTCGTCGAAAAGAAAAATGTCTCTTGGTTGAAACCACGACTTGTCTTTTCCTATGATCAAATGGGTGTATTCCACCGTTTAAAAATACCACTGTATGGAACACTTCTTAGCTCTTGCACCACGCTGCCCTGTTACTTAAATCATACAGACGAATTTATCGAGCACAATAACTATGTATGAAGAAAGTTAGAGCTTAGTTCCACAATGAGATAGTTTTTCACAATTTGAAGCATGCAAAATACTTCCCTCAGCCTCATAATCTGTCTCTGATGATTACAAGTTTTCCAAGCTGCTTTTTTCTGAATAGCATAAAACTATTCATTTTTGGCTTCAGTGGATTTTTCACCTCACTCTCACTTATGATTTAAAATGAACTCAAAGTGCTTACTTTTATGAAATAGCTGGTTCTTGT